GAATTTTCGAAGTTTTAATTTCAAGAAAATTTGAAACTTGGTGAAAATTTAAAATAAATTCCGAAAACGAAATTTGTGTCAGTTAGGAGTCCTAGTATTTAATTTGGGAATTTTTGGAATTAGTTTGTTATTATTTCAAAATTTGGATAATTTGCATGTCATTTATTATGTTTTGTGCTTTTATGTTTATGTCTTTGATTTAATGGTGATGAGTGATGAGATTTGGGGTTTTGTAATTTTAATTGCTGCCAGGATGTGGATTAATTGCTGTGAAAATCGATTGAAATGGATTATCACCTAGATGTGGTAATAAGTTCATTTAATGAAAGGTAAAAAGGGGTGCTTGCTTTACAAGCATGGTTACATATTAAATGGTGATGTTTTAATGTGTGGTTGCATGTGTGTGTGCTGAATATGTGTGAGTGTGTGTGTGCTGATTGTGCATGAGCTGTGTGCCGTGTGTGGTTGTGTGTTTATGTGTGAGAATTTGGGGATTTATGCCCAAATTATAAATATGTGGTAAATTGTGATATTTGTGTGATTTTGTGGCACTTGATTGATATTTGTGATGTTATGTGTGGGTCATAAGCATGATTTCGAAAAATTGCATTTAAAGGTTTTTAAATTGAAAGATTAATGGAATATCGGGTAATAAACAACTCGGATATAGTGAGCCGGTATCCAACTAGGATGATGTGTGTTGTGGTTTGATTCCACTTAGTGAAAACGGGCTCGTAACAGGTTTATTGCCCAGGTACAGAAATTAATCTTTCACGGATCCGATAAAACGAAAAATGTGTTTTTCATAATTTTCATAAAAAGGGCATCTTAGTCATTTTGCATAAGTACGTGATTATGTGCGAATGATGTGTTTTCGTGAGTTATGTGGTTTGACTGATTCTCTTGTTGTTGTACGGAACGTGGGTAAGAATGGGTATATAATATTATATATTACGTATAACGTATTTTTCAAAGTTTGATATTTCATCGGATTTCTTACTAAGCTTTATAGCTCATATAGATGTCTTTTAATTGCAGGTAGTAGTGCTAGTAATCCTCAACCGGGATGGGTCTAGTAGCGGATCGAGGTCTTGCCCGGAATTTTGGAAGACGTACGAGGACCTATGAACGATGCTAAAGACTTTTGGTTATTTTCTTTTGGTGGTGTAATATTAAATCTAAATACTTCCTTTTCGTACCTTTTAAACTCGTTACCTATAAGAATCGTACTTAACCCCTACTATAATATAGTAAGTTTCGTAAATTGCTATTTTCATACCTCCATTAGTGAGTTCCGAATTATTCACCAAAATAACCTTTCCAGACTCTGATTTCTTCTCGAACCGAAAACCGATAGTGATACTGTAGCACTCGAACTAAAAACCTCCCCTCGAAACTTATTTCCAAACGAAACCTTTATTCAGCTAAAGTAACCTAAGAAAAGTTTTTCGAAAATGCAAAGTTTTCAATTCCCAAAAGAAGATATTTTTGATAATTGCATTTTTGACCCATTCCAAAGTTTTAAAAATTACAAAGAGATCTTTTGCTTCCGCTAGTTTAATAAACATTCCGATAAACCAGTTCGATTTATCGCCCGACTAGAAGGGGGGTGCTACAATTTACCCTAAGAATTAATTTAAACTTTAATTAATTGAGTCAAAAATACAATGAATTTATTTAGAGTTTCTAAGTAATCAAAAGTGGAGATTCATGTATGTGAGTTTTATGCAGTAAAGTCAAGAGTCTTGTTTTGGAAATTGCAGCGATTTATTATCCTAATCATTTGTAAAAATAAGAGGTTCATCCATGCATTACTTTTGCAAGTGAGATAATCAGCCGAAAATAAAAATTGAAGAGTAGAGAGTATTGATTGAGTTGAGCTTCCAAAACTTTTATATTTAAATATTTTATTCCAACCTTCCAACATGTCTGCTAAACTCTCAGCTTCAGAATATTTATCACTTTACCCATTTTACTCTATATTGCATCAAGTTGCCCCCTTGTAATTTGGCTCCATATCACTTTACCTGTTTTTACTCTCAATTGCATCGATTTGCCCCCTTCCACTTTGGCTCGATATCACTTTAACCCCTTCTCCTCTCAATTTCATCAATTTGCCCCCTGTACTTGAAAAATTGTCTCAATGTGGCTCTCGCCGTTAGTTTTCACACCTTTGACCTTAACACCGTTTGATCTAAGTTTGAAAATTAAAAAAAAAAACCCCTCCCAGTTTAAATAATTATTAAAAAAATAAAAAATAAAATAATGGCTGGCGTCGTGGACTATGTTTTCTCGTTGTCTTGAATTTTTTTATTATATTATTTTTTGTTTTTTTACCTTTTTATTCTTTTGATTTTTTTTTTTACTTTTTTGATAAATTATGACCTAAATGGCTTACAATATTTTTTCACGACACTTGTGAGGCAAGCGTTTGTCACACTGTATGGCCACCGCTAAAGGATCTTGTGCCACCAGATGTTGGGCTCGCACACCATAATCTAGTTCGATTTTATTTTTTTTTGAATATTTTGTTCATACTAGGGATGATAATTATGTCATTGTTTTTTGGGCTAATTATTTGTTTACTATAGTGTGCGGCACTTAATCACTAATCAATGCCCATCACTAATCAATGCCCATCGTGTTGGAGATTGCTATAGAATACTTTATTGTTTGGATTCTTGGGTGATTAAAACGAATTGTGTTACCCCTATTTATATAACTCTACCTTCTCAAGAATCATTGGTGATCATCTTGATCTAACGGCTAAGAGCATCTGCTACGATTTCCTACCAAATATATACAATGAGGATTCTACAAGACCTTCTAGAATCCTTTAAGTGTTATTTTGGTTTCTTGGAATTGAGAAGATTGATCGTATCATCGGGGCGGAGCTGGTATTTGGTACATAATATCTGTACCGAGATGGATCCCCAGCCTGGGTTCAGATCCGGTGTTTAATAGATTGTGGATCCCGCATAAGGAGTTAAGATTGGAGAATCCAAGCAAATTTACGATCCAGTTGCAAATTGAAATTACCAAATAGTCCTTAGACAATAGCAAGATCGGTAAGTTATATCCCTAATCGAATTCATATTTGCGAAATTGGAAAATATATAAACAATTGTACTGCAGAACAAGCATAAATCCTAGCATCTCTGCCAACAATACGCGATCTTATTTCTCTATTTTATGCATACTAGGAAGATGCATTTGCGTTGCACGTGTCTAGTTAAATGTTTTATAATTTATTTTAGTTGCAATTGTACGTTTATCGAAGTAAAATAAAATTATATTTTTTTAATAAATATCTAAATTTACAATTACTACAAAAAAATCTATAATATTATAAATTCACCAGAGGATTTTGCTTTATAAGCTCCCAAAAAGAGGCTATTATGAAGTCAAAACTTGCATATTGTATTCTTCACGTAATGAGACTGTGAATTTATGTTTCAATGCTTCATCCCTAAATCGCTCAAAAATTCTTGCCCCTGCTTCAAATATCATGCAAAATTTGGACTCCTCCTAGAAAATATTCACAAAATGCTATGTTTGGAATAATTGCAGTTTTTGTCCCTATACTTGCCACCTAAAACGATTTTGATCCTCAAAGTTTTGCCGCTCCGAATTTAGTCCTCAAACTTATCACTTTTGGACACTTATGGTCCGGCCGTTAACTTTTCCAATTTAGTTAGACAGAATTGTTACGTGCACCGCACGTGACTTCCATTTGGCAGTCAAAATCGAGCTGGAAGATGAGTTGGACGACACCTCATTATCTCTCCTCTATCTCTCTCTTATCTCCATAAAACAAATCATTAATTCCTCTTCTACAAAACCCCCAATTTTCCATCTTCTAATTCCCAAAACCTTACCCCAAATTCTACAAAGATGGGAATCGATTGACATAGCTGATCACTGCACATATATCTCTTTTCTTCGACCAGCAAATGAATCTTCCACATAAATCTGAAATAAACATGACGAATTCCACATTAAGATACCCATGTTTTTCACATTAACCAAAAATTTGATATACAGAAGAACCTCGATAAATTAGTACTTAATAAATTAATAACCTCGCTAAAATAATAAATTTTTCCATTCCCGACTCGGGAAAAATGTGCTAAATTAACAATTCGCTAAATTTATAAGATAATACAGTTTCGAAAATATATATATATATATATATATATATATATATATATATATATATATATATATATATATATATATATATATATATATATATATATATATATATATATATATATATATATATATATATATATATATATATATATATATATATATATATATATATATATATATATATATATATATATGGACATAATACACTTCACCCCTATAAATTTTTCATTTTGGCACTTTCCCCCCTAAAATTTGAGAAAAGAGATAACCCCTCGAAATATTGTTTTGGTTGCACTTTAGCCCAAAGCTAATTTTCGGTGGGTATATATGGTGCAACAAGAATAACATTTTAAAGGGGCAATGTGTGAAAAAATAATATTTTTAAGGGTCAGCATGAAAAAGAAAAAACACTCAATTCCGATTAATAAATCATTTGAATTTTGCTATTGGGGCAATGTGCATCAAGTGTAATATGCAATTTGTTTGATCTACATTCTTGAATTTTGAAGGGGTAAAGTTCGAAAATTATAAATTTATAGGGAATGACATGCAATTTGTTTGATCTACTTTTGGTGTCAGAAATCACAGCGATGGAGACAAGAGAGGTACCATCTGCTCATTTTCTGATCAAGATCGAATCCTTCTCCTTGTTCGACAAGTATAAAATTAACAAATATGAAACAAGTGAATTTGTGGCTGGAGAATACAAGTGGTATACTCTCTCTCTCTAAAGCCAAATAAAGGAAGAAGTAATGGAGGATGTTTGACAATTTGTTAATTTGTAAACGACGTTAATATTAAATTTTAATGGAAAGGATAGTGATTATATATATGTAAACTTGGCTATGACGGACACAAGCTCTCTGCCTACAAATTGGGAAATCAATGTTGTCTTCAACATCTTTATCTTTAATCAGATTTCTGGCCATTACCTTTATTCGCCAGGTATATACTATTTTTTATGGGAAAAGTACAGTTTGCACCGTCATGTTTGCACCGATTTCGTATTTTTGTCCCTCGTGCACAAAAATACACATTTGATTCCTCATATTTAAAAAAAATAAACAGTTTTAGTCATTTCCGTCAATTTTCCGTTTGTACTAACGGAATCAAGTGTGTGCCACTAAAAGTGTTAAGCTATTGAAACTTGATGGACCAAATGTGTTTTTTATCAACATGATGGACCAAATGTGAAATCGGTGCAAATAAGAGGGATGAAAATTGTAATTTCCCCTTATCTTTATCTTTCTTTTTGTTTCTTCTTTTTTTATTTTACGTGTTAATTAGTTTGTTTTAGTCCTATAGAGTAGTTTCTTTAAATTGTCAAGGACTACTTTTTTTTTATTTATAATATTATTTGGCAGGAATAACAAGAAGTTTCCAAACAATGAAATTTGAATGGGGCCTTTCAAAATTTATTTCGAAGGAAATTCTGTCTGATCCATCAAACGGATACCTAGTTAATGATACGTGTGTGTTTGGTGTTGAGGTTTTCTTTATCGAAAGACAAGGGGCCGTTGAATGCTTATCTTTGGATAATGTCGATACTCGTTACGAGCATGATTTGAAGATTTCAGATTTCTCCAAATTAGAAGAAACATGGAATTCTGCATATTTTATTGCTGGAGGCCCGAAATGGTAACTTTTATTAGTATTACTAATTAGATTTTAGGGCAAATTCCACATCACCCCATAAAAAATCTATTTTTTCACTTTACCCCCTAATTTTTTTTTAAGTGAATGTCCCCCTTCAAAATGTTATTCTTGTTGCATTTTGCCCCGATAGCAAAATTTCGATGGATTATTCATCAAAATTTGATTATTTTTGTTGCAGATTGCCACTTTATATGTTATTCTTGTTGCATTTTGCCCCGATAGCAAAATTTCGATGGATTATTCATCAAAATTTGATTATTTTTGTTGCAGATTGCCACTTTATATGTTATTTTTGTTGCAGCTACTCCTTTAAAACATTATTCTTTGCACATTGCCCCTTTAAAATGTTATTTCTGTTGCACAATGCCCATAAAAAAATGGTTTATGGGGCAAAGTGCAACCAAAATAATACGGAAATGCTATTTGCGGTCACAAAATTGCTATTCGCGGTTTATAACAAAACCCCCCAAAACTTTTAAAAATATCAAAAAACCCCCCAAAACTGCAAATATCCAAAAAAAAGAATCAAAAATTCGAAATCAAGCTTGAAGAAGGGTTGAGCTTCGTTCTTTAGTGTAATGACAAATATGTATTTATATTTTAGAAACTAATTTAGTTATTAACACTAATATATTAATAATAAATATGCTAATAAGTCAGTGCAATTAGTTAAAATCATCATCTATAGTACACCAAATCCTATTTTCACCTCTATATTTGGTAAGAAAAATAGGATTTGGTGGAAATAATAGTAAAATGGTGGATTGGTGGGAGATGAAAATTCCTTCACTAAACAATTTGGCGGAAAAATAGAATTTTGACATATGGTGATATGGGTGTTGACCACGATAGGAGGCTAAAGTCAAATCTCCATTATTTTAGGTGTAATGGTGATATAGTAATTTTGGGCGGAAGGCTAGAAACAACTAAATTACATGAAAAAATGGTGATATAGTGACCGATCGGAGATGCTCTTACACATTCAACAAACAGTTGGAGATGATCTCCGACCGGGAACCACTTTTTTCACCAATCCCATTTATGGTGGTAGAAAAATGGGTTCACATCCCACCGGTAGCACACCAGTTTACTCTTTGACCATTTTTTGTGGAAAAATGGTGTTTTTGGTTTCCAATGTATTGCACCAAAATTTAGACCAAATATTAAAATAATAATATTTTACCATTTCACCACTTATTGGAAATGGGATTTGGTTTGGTCTCCGATGACATTTCACCATATATGCCCCAAAACTGTAAATCTAATGTTAATCGTAATTTTATTTCCTAAATATTAATTATAGATCGAATTATAAGTAATAAATTTTCTTAATTATATAATATTAAAATTATGTTATCAATTTTAAAAAACTATCTAAAGATGAAATAACATGAGCTCAAATTATTTTAAATATAATAAAATCATACATACACAATAATCTCATAAATTGTTGCATAAATAAAATATTACAACATAAATTAATTTGAAATCATAAAAAAAAGTCTCATTCACCATTATTATCATCATCATCAACATCATAATCTTCAACATCATTGATTTGAGCACTTTTATCCCACAAGTGTGCTACCAATGTCCTTCTTAATTCATTGTATTTTCCTTGATTTATTAGATTTCAATGTTCTCGATGTCGATCATGAAAACTAACATATGCCACATTATTAAAATCTCTCAAAAGCTCAACAGGCGGGATAGAGGACGAACTTTCATAGTCAAAGTTTGTGGGAGATTGAGCATCATAAAAAATATAACCTTTTCTATATCCACTTTGTTCTTCCTCAACTATCATATTGTGCATAATAATCAGTGTTCTAAAAATCGACCGAGGCGGCCGATTAATCGGTCTTTGAGGCGGAGGCGGTCCTAAACCTTTACGATTTTAGTGTAAATGTTTGAAAAATCGGTTTTTTGCCTGTGAGGCGGTTTTAGGCGGTCTGAGGCGGTCCGAGGCAGTTTAAGACGGTCAAAACTTTAAGGCGGGTCAAACTCAGTGGCAAAAATCGGTTAAAAATCGGTTTTTTTTCTTTTTATAATTCATAATAAAAGTTGGATTTTAATAAAAGAAAATATGAGTTTATGCCTTATTTTTTTATGTTAATTGTTATTGTTAAAGAACTAATGATGTATGCCAGGAAGGTTCAAGAACAAATGTAAATTCGATTTTTTTTTATTTATATTTTATAAGGATATTTATGTATTATGATCTTATGATTATTAAACTTTTATTATGTTATTAGGATTTAGGGTATATACATGATGCAGATATAACTATGTTTAAATATATTTTTATATATGTTTGGAGTATTTCTAATTAATATTTAGAAATATATTATATTATGTTTTAAAAATCGATTTATTTCCGATTTATCACCGATTAATCACCGCCGCACCGACTAATCGTAAGTCGGTGCCTGACCGACTCGGACCCGATTACCGCTTTTTACAACCTTGATAATAATGCATGCAAACATGACTTCATGCAAGTCTTCTTCTTTCTTCCAGAGTCGAGCCGCTCCTCTAATAATTGCAAATCGAGCTTGAAGAACTCCAAATGTCCGTTCCACATCTTTGCGATACGACTCATGTACTTGTACATAATATTTTTCTTCGGCAAATTTGGGTACACTAATGGCTTGTATTAAAGTTGACCATTTAGGAAAAATACCATTACATATTTATATTATTAGAATTAATATTTTTATTAATAATAACAAATGTATTTATATTTTACAAACTAATTTAATAATTAATTCCAATGTATTTACGATAAATATGCCAATAAGTTGGTAATCATGTGCAATTAGTTAAAATCGTCATTTTATATGGTACTTAATAAAATGGTGTTAATTACGCAAAATCCTATTTTCACCTCTACATGTAGTATGAAAAATAGGATTTGGTGGAAAAATAGGAAAATGGTGGATTGGTGGGAGAAGAAAATTCCTTAACCAAAACATTTGGTGGAAAAATAGGATTTGAGTATTTGGTGATATGGAGGTTGACCACGGTGGGAGGCTAAAACCAAATCTCTATAATTTTAGGTGCAATGGTGATATATGAATTTCGGATGAGAGGCTAAAAACGCCTAAATTAGATGAAAAAGGGCGATCTAGCGACTGGTCGGAGATGCTCTTACAAATTCAACAAACAAGTGATATAGTGACCGGTCGGAGATATTCTTATATTCATTGACATATAGTACAACCAAGCTAAATTATATAAATGTATAAAAAAAATTTATATTATAAATGTATAATTTTGATTTTTCTGAATACATTGATTTATTTTTATTTATTCTTATTAAAAATTGGAAATTTCAAAAAAATTATTTAGTTTTAATATTGATGCAAAATTTTTTTTTTAAAGAAATGGAATCAAATTTGATAATCCCATCTATTCCCATCCCTCCAACCAAAATAGGCCTTACGGTGTAGCCCACAATTTAACTTCTTCTCTTCGTCAGACTACGTGCTAAAGAATTCAATCTTTGTCGGCAGTTGTTTTGGTGGTGATAATTTTTCATAAATATTTTCGATGTTTTTGTAGTTATTTTTATAATGAATTAGGTTAATTTTGTAGAGAATTACTTTAATTTTTTTGAGTTTTCAATAGTTAATAACTTTAATTTTCGTAGTCTTTGCAGATTGCTTTGGTGACACTTGAGAGTTGAGTGGTTCAATTATTTCAATGGTGTTTATAGTGGATTACATTAATTTTGTAGTGACCTGCGTCAATTGCTAGTGAACTGCGGTAAGGTTTCAGTGGATTTTGATATAAGTGGCATGGTTTTTCTCTTTCAAAAAGCAATTATTGGTGGGGGATTAGGTTAATTTGATAGTAGATTACGTTAATTATTTTAGTGAATTTCAATATTTTTGTTGTGGATTTTAAGGCCTATTTTGGTTGAATGGATTGGGCCAGATGGATCTTCTAATCTACCCGGATCTCAACTTTGGTTCATTTAAACGGACCCGGGATGGATCTTGGGCCCAAGTTACGATCCCCTAATTGATGGATCGTAGAGCCGACCGTGGGAGGTGAGATCCCACAATCCCATCCGTTTCCCTACATACCCACATGATTTTTGACCTTTAAGCCCTCAATATTCTTCCGTTACTACACTTGTACCGGGTATATATTACAATTTTCCCCCCAAACCTCATCTTCCCTAGCAGCCTTGGTCGTTCATCCCTCTACACATTTCGGTTTCTTCTGTTCTCCTTCGATTAACATAAGAAAAAAATCGTATTTGTTTCCCCTTTTTTCCCCTGTTGATTGAAGAAGTCCGTTATATATTTCTTGAAGCTCTTTATCGGAGTTGCACAAGGTTTGCATCCCTTCGATTTTATAGATTACATAATTTTTTTTTATTTTGCTTTTTTTTTTGGAAAAACTCTAACTCCGTTCCAACTTTTTTTGTGTTCTATAAATGTTGAAAGGAGTTGTTGCATACGAATTGTCGACTGGTGGACGGGGCTTGCTCAATCGGATAGCTTACGACTCGGTTTAGACGACAAGCTTGAACGCCTTCTTCCTAAAATATATTTGCATTATCAAGTTAGTTAATACATGTTATGATGTGCGTCCATATTATTACTTGTTCACCCATCAATTTTGTGCATGTTTCTGGCATTTATATGCCAATTTATGACAGAGATCCTCCCCTTCAACGTTTTTAGTAAAAAGAGTAATTGAATGATAAGTATGTTCAAGAATGCTTCAAGTATATAGGTATGGGGAGACAAACAGTAGAAAACTCAAGAGAACTAATTTACATTTTGTCTTGAATGTTGTTTACTTTCTAATTCTCTTCTTGCTTTATTTAGTTTATGTTTGAAGTTTTCATATGTAGAGAAGATTGTAGTTTATGTCTTTTGAGAATAACAAGAAACTTCATTGAATTGATACTTTAAGTTTTTTAATTGGATCCAAACGAAAAGTGATAGAGTTGTCTTTGAATTCCTTGCAGGCATGCACTTTTTGTATATAAATAGGTTTTTGAATTCGTTTAAACATAAATTATAATGCAAAATTTTCATTCTTTAAATGTGTAGATGGCTATTTGTGTGAAATTTGAGTTGATTTCGATTGTGCTCGACAGGTGGTGATATTTGGTTTTTGTTGAGCTTGTTATCGAAAAAGATCTTTGTGGAATTTATGGTCGCAACAAACAATTTATAGTGGACTTGAGATCTTTGTCTTGTTTGGATTAATAACATAAAACTATCACTATTTATGAGAAATGCAAGCCTTACGAGAATCCACATTGGTCAGGTAACAATGCAACAAATTGAACTTGTTAATATGAAGCTTTATATCTCTCTACCTAATATCTCATTTGAACTTCATCGGCGAGTTACGCTTGTTATGAAATCTTGCACTTTATAATTTTAATGTCCTTTTGCAAATTGAATTAGTTTTTCTTTGTTTCAATAGTTAATATTGAGCTGAATTTTGGTTTGATAAGACTATCATGGAAAGAAGTTTACGATGGACTGACTTTATTTTGCAGGCTCCCCCAAATTTTGGAAAATGGTAATCAAGAAGTTGCTTTTCATGATTTCTCCCATATTTGTATTTTAATCTCTAGAGTGTTCCAATCTTTGTCTTCAAATCCCTCTTTTTGTCTATCTGCATCATGTTTGATAAATATTTTATGATGGAATGACTTCTATATTTTAAAGGTGTACCTGAATAAATGCTAATTTAAATAGATTTAGATTCTTTTAGTAGTACTATTTTATCTTTTCAGGTTCCTAGTATTTCAATATATAGAAAATGGAAGCTTAAAGGAGCATATATTTAGTAATTTTGTTATCGGTAGCATGACCATCAGACAAAGTTGTTATGCTTTAGAGTTCCGTAAGCAACGGGACTACAAATTTATTGTATTCTATCGTTGTTATTTTTTACTAACTTAAGTAATTTATTTTATTTTTTTCTCTGCGAACAGGTGACGGATAGTATAGATAACTACAAGAAATAGAGGTAATACTTAGACTCCACACTAGCTTTTCTTTTAAGATATTGTTGTATTTATTTATTTTTCTTAGGATCGAATAGTACGAGATAGGTAGTTAGTTGTCTTTGTTTTGTGAATTTGGTTCAATTGTATTCATGAGAATTGTTAGTTTGTATCACTTTGATGTTCTACCGTGATATGATTATATGAATATTTTTTTATTGATAAATGTTCGATAGACTTGTAATAATGGTGTTACAACCTTGCAGGTTTTGTGAGAATTTCATTGATGTCGACAAAATTGATGGTGTGAAGATTCACCGAGCACTCTAATTTATTTTCAGTCATTTTCAGAAATTATTTAAGTACTTGATTGCTACCAATCAAATCCTTTTTTTTACTATTTATTCAGACTTGGTAAATACTAACTTTGAGGACAACAAACATTGATCTTAAAACATCAACAATTTTCACCATCCATTTTTTGCTTCATGCTTTCTAACCAAAGATTGCAATGCATTAATCATTTCCAACAAGTCGCGAATCATCATCTGCTCCACAAACTTTGGCATCGCACCAAAATAAAAAATGATATTTATTAGATTGCATAATTATGTGTACAGAAGACGAAAGAGAAAACGAAAATTCAAATGAAAATTTGAAATCATGCAGAACAAATGATACGCAAAAGCATTAGTAATATCCTAATTTGTGGGGGTAATATTGTAAATGATCACAACAATCAACCAATCCAACATACCTATCAAAAGATTGATAATGAAAGATTTAATCCCATGAACTCAATCCCTCTTACCAAATATGAATTCCTAGCTTTTACCATCTATCTCTACAGTGTCATGTGCAGTTGGATTTCGAATCCCATCTATTCCCATCCCTCCAACCAAAATAGGCCTAATGAGATTGTCGTGGATTTTAAACTCTTGCATTCGAAACATATTGCATTTGTAAAAGTTTCAATTACATTAATTTTGTCGTGTATTCATTATGTAATGGATTACGTTAACATCGCAGTAGATTATGTTAATTTTCATCAATTCAGGTTCTTGAGCAGGTGAAGTGAGGCGACGGGGTGGCTAGGTTGGGTGATCCTAGGGCCACTGGACATAACAGTGGATTTGCATTTCCAATAGTGAATTTACGTTATTTTTTTTGTTTGTTATTATTTCAGTTGTATTAGTCGTGGATTACGTTCATTCGTAGTGGATTATGTATGTTTTTAGTGGATTTCGATAAGTTTGTTGTGCATTATGTCAATACAATAGTGGATTACATTAATTTCACAGTGATTTTTACGGTAAATTTTAATGCGATTTTCGATAATTTTATAGTAGTTTTGGTTGACTATATGGTGAATTTTAATTTTCGTAATCCCGGTGAATTATTATTATTATTATTATTATTATTATTATTATTATTATTATTATTATTATTATTATTATTATTATTATTATTATTATTATTATTATTATTATTATTATTATTATTATTATTATTATTATCATTATTATTATTATTATTATTATTATTATTATTATTATTATTATTATTATTATTATTATTATTATTATTATTATTATTATTATTATTATTATTATTATTATTATTATTATTATTATTATTATTATTATTATTATTATTATTATTACTATTATTGTTATGATAATTACTATTGTTTTGATTATTATTATGATTAACATTATAATTAGCATTACTATTATTAGGATTAACATTATAATTAGCATTATAATTAGCATTACTATTATTAGGATTATTATTATAGTTAGTATTACTAGCATTGGCATTATGATTATTATCATTGTCATTAGCTGTCGATTTTTGAGTATTTTGATGTTTCTTCAGTTGTCATTAATTTCCTCGTCTGGCCAATGGGTTTTTTATTCTACCAATGAAATATAAAACTTTAAAATATTAAATATTGCATTGACTTTTCAATTGATATTTTTGATGAAACTATTTAAATTATGTTTTAAATTATTACATCCAATGAAAGTGGAAATATATTAAGATTACAAACTTAAAGTAGCGCAAAAAAACAACAGAAGAAGACGATGGGAAACTGTTTGTGTGTGAAGCCAGCAACGAACGATGGTATGACAATTCTCTTTACAAAAAAAATCTATTTTTTGCTTCTCCTGTATATACAGTTAAGCCTCTGTAAATCAATACAGTCGGAACTGGCAAAATTCTAACTAATAATCATCGAACTAATGATTTAGTACATTTTCACCGATTCGGGACTGGGAGAAGTTAATATTTAAGCGAGGTTATTAATTTATCGAGATTCTACTATATGTATGTATGTATGTATGTATGTATGTATGTATGTATGTATGTATGTATGTATGTATGTATGTATGTGTATGTATGTATGTATGTATGTATGTATGTATGTGTGTACATACATTTTTGTGCTGAAATTATGTGCATCTACTGTTTTTAGAAGTGACCACCTTGAATACAAGAGAGGCACCACCTTCTCACTTCATGATCAAGATTGAATCTTTCTTCGTGTTAGAAAAGTATGGAATTAAGAAATACGAAACAAAAGAATTTGTCGCCGGCGATTACAAGTGGTATAGTCTCTCTCCCTTTCCTTAATAAGCCACTAAATAAGCCAAAATAATAATAATAATGAAGTAATGGAGGATGTTTGAATTTGTACAGGAGACTAATATTCAAATTTAATGGAAAAGATAGTGATTATATATCTGTAAACTTGGCTATGGCGGACACAACTTCTCTGCCTACAAACTGGGAAGTCAATGCTCTCTTCAGCGTCTTTCTCTTTAATCAGATTTCGGGCAATTATCTTTCTTCAACAGGTATTATATAATACTCACCTTTTTTTTTTCTCTTTTTAGTCATAAATTATTTGTTTACTTTAATTTCTAAGCACTATTTTTATAATATTATTGGCAGGAAGAACACTTTGTTTCCAAGCAACAAAGTCCGAATGGGGAATTTCAAAATTTATCTCTAGAAAGGTTCTGTCTGATCCATCAAATGGATACATTATCGATGACAGCTGTGTGTTTGGTGCTGAATTTTTGGTACCGAAAGAGTGCAGACATGTTTTACCGTATGCATGAAAACCAGTTTGATGATAAACAAACTAGACGATATTGTAAGTACTTACAATATTTCATTTAAAATGTTTGATGTTTCCAAACGGAAAGCGAAACCAAAAACTAATTCTTTTTCTTTGGTTTTTTTTTTTTCTTTTTTTTTTCCGCAGTTTTTAGTTACTGGTTTTCAGCTTCCAACAGTAGTTGGGGAAGGCCTGTATACATTGATCTTACAACTATTAATGATCCTAACAAAGGATTCATTGTCAAAGATTGTTGTCTTCTAAATATAGAAATCAACGTCAAAGTTGTTGCACGTGCATCTTAATTAGTTACCTATTAAAAAGTTGGATTAGACGATTTTGTTGTGTGTATCAAACACAACTTTATATTTTCATGATATATATATTTATTGCGTGATTACGATAGTACAATATTTGCATCAAACTTATAAATGATTGAATGCACATCAGAAACAGAGGCTTCGCCTGCACATTCTTATTTATGAAATCGGAATCATTTTATGAATAATAGTGAACTGCATGAACCAACACCTACTCACTCTTTTCACCTTCATGATTTTTACTATTTTACTCATTATTTTCCTTAGAGAATAAGGTTACTCTTTTCTTCGATCTCGTATATAATTTTTCCAAGTATAAATAACTTATTTAGGCCATATTTTGGAAGACTTCTTTATAAAATACGTTCGTAATTTATCTGGACACATTTGCACTGTAAAGTGGTTGTTAGAAGCCCCCCACGTAAGGTACCTTCCTTTTAGAGAGCAAGTCTCCGCCCCGCATAACCAAGAGAGATCGCTAGTACCCGATAGAGCCCGCTAGCGCTAATAGTGACAACATCTCAATCCTCCGTAATTTACAAAGGACTGGGAGGAAGAAAACCAAAAAAAATGGGGAAAACCAAAACAAGAACTTGTCACATACCTCACTCCCCTTCTGCCAAACCATCTCGACGGCCGCGGGCCCGTGATGGTGGCGGCGATTTGCTTCTGGGGAGGCGGTGGTAACCATTTGGGGGAAAGCGGAGGCAGGCGACCAAAAACACGAATCAGCAGAAATTGTATATATCAAAAATTCTGGAGACCAGGAAATAGGTTTGCCCTCCGGCCAACGAATGTAGGCTGGAAGATTGGAGATGGACGAATATTTGCGGTCAGAGATTACAACTTAAAAGAAAAAAAAATCGTCAGGGCCCCACAGGATAGCCGTATCGCGGTCGTAGCAGGTGAAAAGAAATTCAGAAAGGAAAAAGATTTGTACTGCAAAAAGGGATAACCTAAAGGGCAAGTATAAATAACAGTCTTGAGGTACTAGGAAAACAACATACCTATCTCGCCATTTTTAAACATATATTCTTCTATAGAGAAAACAACCAATTGACTTGATCGTCGGAGTGCTAACGCCAAAAACCTCCTCCTGATACTCCTTTTTTGCAGGTCTCTTGGGCTTGGAGTGGGCTTTCCTACTTTGGGCATTCTTTCAGTGGTCCTTCAATGCATCACATATCTCAATTTCTCTATCAGACCATTTAGCTCAGATCAATTGGCAAAAGTTTGTAAATATAGGGGTTATGCTATTTACCCTAATACTAAATCTAATGTTATCGCCTACGGGGGCACTTTGAACAATATATGTTCATAACCGTTATAACCAAACATTAGATTACGACCTATTATTTTAGGGCAAGTCGCAAATCAACCCATGGGATGTTACTTATTTGGTAATCCCTCCATTCCAAAATCACTTGTACCAAAAAGGACATCAACCCTACCAAAGACTAAAATGCTCCTTAATATCTAATTTACTCCAATTTCATTCCAAAAATCATAATTTAACCAATTGCACCTTGACCCCAATTCTAAATCATTATGCATATTAACACCCAATAGCTCTTATTTAAGTTGTGGTGGAAAGTCGACATAAAAATCTACATCCTTTGATTTTTTCTAATTTTTAGATTCATTTCGGATTATGCTCTATAAGTATTTTAAACAAGACGAGTGTATTTTTATCATACATGATCTAGAGATAAAATTTTGTTTTTTTTTTTTTTTTTTTTTTTTTTTTTTATTTGTGTGGATCTATTTGCATGAATATTAGTTCTTAGGGCGTGTACAAAATTTCCCCTATTTTGAAGGTGTTAGTTCAAAGAAAAAAAAGGTTAAGGCTTAATCCCACTTCACACCCTTGAAATATACTATTT